GATAGTTGATAATTTAGAATTAATTGAGATATTTAATATAATTAACGGTTCAATTAACTAATAAATTAAAATAATATAAAAACATTTAATATATAATTATTTTATTTTAAATTAAATTAAATTATAGAGTGTAAATGTGAATTTTAGTTCAAATAATAGAGGTCAAAATAGAAGAAAAAAATAATAAATTATAAACTAAAATATTATTTGAAAAAGTATTTAGAAAATAAATTATAAACTAATAAAATAAACTATAAATTTGTAATGAAAAGACAGTTATCAAATATTTTTTTTATTATAAGAGTTTATAAGCTATAAATTCAAAAAAATATCATGTCAAATAGAACTTAATTAATGACCATGACAAAAAATTTATTAGAAAGAAATTTAAAAAATAGAAAAAGAGTAATAAATAGCAAGACTATCATAGAATAATAAATATTAATGATTTATTAGAATTATATAATAAATTAAAATTTTATAAAATAAATTATAATTAGAAACCAATGTAGTATATCATCAAAATAAATAATTGTTAATTCTCTTGTTACAATTTAGTTGATAGTTATACAAGAATATTGATATAGAAATGTAGAATTTATAACATTTCATTTATTCATCTTTTAAAAAGTGAATTTCAATCACTAAACTACTATATAAAAATTAATAAATTAAAACAATCTCTTAAAATAAAATATTATTAAAAATTGTAAGAAAACAAACAATTTGGAGGAATCAGGTCAAGAATATCGACCATTGACATATATTTTGTGAACTTGTGTTTGAAAAGATACATATTAACCATTTGTTTGAGATGCAAATGTTTTATTTTTCTTTCACCGGTCTAAAGCTTGTGTTTTTTTTGTTTTCCACATATTAGGTTGTGTGGGATAGACTTCTCTTTTGTTAGCCTTTTGTTTGTCAGATTTCAGATTTAAAATTTAATTGTAGGTTACAATATTTTAGCCTTTGGTTTGTTAAATATCCCTTTTGTTATGCTTGTGTTTTAACAGTTACAAGTTTGTTAAAGGTCAAGAATTCTTTTGAGATGCAAATATTTTGTTTTTGTTTCACCGGTCTAAAGTTTGTGTTTTTATTGTATTCCACATATTATGCAGTCATTATATTAGGTTAAACTTTATTGTTTTTTTTTTTGTTCGGCTGATGTATTTAAATTTACAAGTTTTCAGTTTTGGTTAAAGTTTATAAATTTTGGTAAATATCAGTAAGGCTGGGTTTGACAGATGAAAAGGTTTAAAGTTTAAGTGTAGATAAAATTATTTTTGTCTTTGGTTTGTTAAAGATCTCTTATGTTTGAAAAGTCAACCAATGTCTTGGAGGAAACTCCAAATATTTCATACAAAATAACACTAAAGTCGTAAGGTTTTAAAGAGTCAAGGTTTATAATCCTAAGTCTAAGAGGTTCATAACTCCATAATGCAAAGGATAGTAATCAAATAGTCCAAGTAACCTTAAAGTTTTTTTTAATGTTCAAGTTGGTTATTAAGTGTCTCAAAAAGAAAAGAAAACTCAAGTGACCAAAAATAAATAAGAAAAGACATAAAATTAAATGTTCAAATGAGCAAAGAGAAAATGACATAAAGATAAATGCTCAAGTGAGAAAAGATGAAAATAACATGAAATGTAAATGATAAGGTAAATAGTGCATAAAAGTAAAGACATAAAATAAAAGCATAAAGTAAAAGCATAAAGTAATGCCAATTGTTAGTGAATTAGAAGTTAGAGGGAGTTGAATGACCATTTTGAAACTTGTATTTGAAAACTAATTAGAAGATTGATAAAATCAAAGTCTCTCAATAATAAGTTTCATTTGCTTTTTGTCAAGTATACCATTCATTTCAAGTACTCAAAGCAAGCATATATGATCAACGATGTTTAAATGATTCACTTAGACCAAAATTCATGAAAGTTCATTAGAGGATTGATAAGATCAAAGCCTCCTAACAATGAACTTCAAAGTTATTGGATCCTAGGTTTCAAATTAAACATACTTGGACTTGTAAACATATGTTTGGACCACGAATGATCATTTTTTGAATCGGGACAAATTTAGCGTTATGTTAAACAATCGTAAGTGGACTTATGTAGAAGTCACACCTACTTTGAGATCGGTCAATAACAATCTATATACCACATGTTAGAGAAATGATATGTAGATCATTCTCCAACAACATGTAGCACAAGTAAAAACAAGAAATGGATAAGATGAAGAGGAGGGGTGTATCAGACGAAATTAGGATTTCAAATATCGTCAATATCATTCATTCATTTTAGTAGATTTTGTTTTTCAACCTATCAACACCCAAGATCCAATGAGGTTGAGAAATTTGCCCTAAAATAATACTCAAATCAGGACCAAACAAAGATAATAAAATAATATTAAAAAATAATATTTAAATGATTATTAAAAGAAAAATAATTGGTAAAATACACAAAGTATATTAAAACACCAAATAAAAATCCTAAAAAAATAGTCAGAGGTCAAACATGAGTCAATAAGTGTCGACAAAAAATTTCAGAATCTTTTAAAGTCATAAATTATCATTTAAAATTCAAAGAAATAAGCAAAATAAACCAAAAATTGTAAAAAAAATAGTAAAATCAGAAATAAAAATAAAATGAGGTCACCAATATTTGTCAAGAGGTCATTGGATCCTTCCATATTTTTTTCAGAATTTAAAAATCAAGAAAAGTATTTTTAAACAATTAAAAAAATTCAAATAAAATGAAAAATCAGAAAAAATACCAAATCAGAAAATAAAATTGTGAAAAAATAAAAATCAGAAATGGATAAATCAAAAGTATTTTTGAGAATTTTTTTTCCAGAATTTTAGAAGTTGAAATGATTTTTTTTATGAACTTTTGAAGTTTAAAACAAATAAAATATAAAATCAGAAAATAAAAATAAAACCAAAAAGATGTAGACCATTGGATTAATGTCAAAACGCGTTAGTAATCAAATCCAAGGGATCTGACGCGCTGTGCATGATATGGACATTAGTGAATAAACCATCAGATCATTTATTTAAAACAGATTTTGAAAAAAATGTGTGGCGCGATATGATTGGCTGAAGGGAAGACATGTCATCGTCTTCAACCTCCAGCCACACACGAATTATAGGTTCCACAAACTATAAAATTAGAATCTCAGACCAATGTCATTCGCTCGTCTCTTCAAGGCGATTTCAACGGCATCCTCGCGAAAAATTTATATAAACTGTAACTCAATCGATTTGAAGAAAACCAGAAGAAAAATGTTGGAAAGGGATTTGAAAATTCATGAAAAAAAGTCACTTCCTATTAAAAACAAACGACGCTATGAGTATTAGAGTGATGAGGGATATATTGTAGCAGCAAGTTTAGAGATAATTGATGGAGGAATATACCTGTTGAAGTTCAAATTCAGAGCTCTGAAACTTGACTTGGCTAACACGATTTAGGGTACTTCAAGGCTTGGTTCTTCTTCTGTTAGCTTCAGTGAAGTTCAAGGATGAGAATGAGCAAAGAAATTGGATTAAAAAATGTTGTAGAACCAAATTCGAAGTTGTAGAATTCTGAGTTATGGAGGAAGTTCAATAGAGGTTTTTTGGCTCTCTAAAGATCGTCAAATAAGTGGGATATCATCTTATGATGAGAAATGAGAGGAATTATGGGCAAATCGTGCAAACCAAGTTGTGATCATGCCCAACGTGTGACTTGAAATGCCTCAAAACGACCTCATATTAAGTGAAATTATTGTCAAAACGCATCTGAACAATTAGTTAAACATGTTTAGAAACTAAAACTTGAGTAATTTGACCGGTAATCCAAGTTTACTCGTGGTAAAAATTCTGACTTGAAGCAAAAATAGATTCTATGAAGCCAACTTCAACAATATATAGCTCACTACTCAGGGACCTTTATGGGGTGATTCTTGAAGCATTTGAAATACAGGGTTATAATCTTTACAATTTATCAAGAAAGACATCATTTGTATGCTTGAGCAAAAAGTTATGTCCAATTGAATTTGTGAAAAACACACTGATGTTTTGTACTTAGAAAAATTCTAAGTGTTGAACTTCAAAATGACCTATAATGTTCTTCAAAATTACATGACCTTTCACTCAAAATTTGATCTTGATATATGAAGATGACATGAAGTAGACCTCTTGGATTGAAGTGTGGAATTAAGATCTTTCAAAAATCATAAGAATTGAAAAAGTTATGGTCTTTGGAAGATGATGAACAAATTTGGGGAAATTCACAAAAGACCTATAATATTTTCAATTCTTCAACAACTTTCCAAGCATCTTGAAGTCTTGAACATGACAAAAAAAAATTGTAATAGACATCCCAAAGATTATTATGGAAAAAGAATGGGCTCAAGGTGATAAAAATTGACCAAGTTATGATCATTTGAAGTCAAACCCTAAAATTCAAAGGCTTTTCAAGGAAACTTGTCATCTTTCTCAACTATTAATGATCTTCCATTCAAAATTAGCCTTAGATCTCTGAAGAGAGATTGTTAAGGACCCTTTAAAGAGAAATATGGTTTTCGAGTCACTCAAAAATATTTAAAAATGAGTAAGATATGGTCCTTGAAAGTCAACAAACCCTAGCTCAAAGAGTGCCAAAATGACTTGAAACTCCTTTCAACTTTTGATGATTTTTCTTGCACAATTGGATCTTGTCATGTGAAGAGAGGTTGCTGTAGATGATGATAAGAACCCATAGTAAAAAGAACCAACTCAAAATTTTGAAACTTGAGAGAGTTATGCACTTGTGATCACTGAATCTAGTATTTGCTCAATTATGTCAAACTTGTTGAATCAACCTTAAATCTTTTTGGACTTTCTTGGCAAAATAAGCATGATGAATCATAAGAGGCCCTGAAATGATGTTGTCTTGAAGAACACTAAAAGATAGAGCTTAAGTCTCAACAAATCTTGTTGAAGAAGGCATAGAAATAAACTCATGAACCCATGATTCATCTTGTGTCATCACCTACAATATAAACATTCATAGAATAAATATACACATATTTTAATGTCAACTAAGAGTTAATCAAACATAAGATACACATACAAGATACACAAATCAAGGTGTTTGATGATCCCTTTAGGGAATACCCAAAGATAAAAGATGGTATAAGTTACAACCAAATCCTAATGTGTGATCTTAATGTATTGTGATGATATGAGATGATGAGAGATCTTAGGAAAAAAAAAAGGGGTATAACACCGACACAAATATGTCTTACGCTTACAGAAATAAATATACATAACATGTTTTGTTCAAAGAAGTAACATCAAATCTAAATCGAATTCTATTTCCGGATTTGAAGTTATTGAACTTGCAAACTTCGTCCCATCCATATCCTAACTTTGTGTGGCGAGGGTGACAGTGACATGAATTTAGTCTTCCCGTTGTCACCACACAGCAAAATATCTTCATATCCATTGTCTCAATACAGTTGCAAAGTACTCCTGCAATTTTTACAATCCAATTATAAATTAGTTGTTGATGTTATACTATATGACATATTCACGCACAAATTAAAATAGCCAACTGAAAGACAACTCAACTAATTTTGGCAGATATGTGCTAAACGGGCTCAGTGTGATGTCAAAAACATATATTTCCTTGTGAAGAACATATCTACTGTGAAAACACAGTAAATCCAGGGGTCTCACCACCTCCTTAAATGATAACATTCCATAGTTGTTGTTACCATAATAACCATCCGTCTGGACAACTTCAGAAGGTAGATTGTAATAAGATTCCATGCAAGGCCAACCACTAATAATGATGGGATGTAACTCCAATCGGTTAAAGATCAGTTTGTGGTGGACAACTTGGTCGTTCATGATGGTCCAACCTTTGGAAATTTAATCTCTATAGCTTTTCACAAATGAGGGGTCAATTTCTGATTACGACTGCAAACATTAAAGATACACCCGATAATCCATGAAAGAAGTTATTGTATATTTTTAACAATCTTCAAACAAGATTCATTGAAATAAAAGAAACTAACCTGTGACGATATCTTAGTGATTATAAAATAGTCAATCATATCTGAGTGTTTGAGAATTCCGCAAACATCCATTTTGATCCTTCTCTAGACAGTCTGGTTTAGAAAAAGGGAGATTGAAAAGTGATATTATTTGAGTTTTCTGGTTTCAGTTTGCAAAACACATTGTATGTGGCCTTCTATTTATTACTCAACTTTGCATGTGGCCTTCTATTTATTACTCAACTTTGCACAGGAACCTATGGTTCTTTCACGTGGATACAGTAAAATAAATTTGTTAGTTTTAGAATCTTTTGTCTTTATGTCTACAAAGGAATATATTCCTCACGTGTCTACAGTAAGTGTCCATTACACACTTTGAATACTTTCCTGATCAGAACTTGGAGAAAAATATTCAAATATTATCATTTTTGGACCATTTTATAAGCTAACTTATTATATTTTACTTCTATTGCGAAATCCTACTATAACAAAAACGTTTTTAATACAAATATAATGTAATACTAACAGTAGATTACAATTGACAATGCTCATATACTAACTATAGCCAACAATTGACCTTGCAGATAACATTTAACTTCATGTGCATAACCCAAGAGTATCATTTCATATTTGTTAACATTCAGACCATAAAATAACAATTAACTACACTTCTTGTACAAACTTACCCTTCACTGTCAGATGAAATCACTATCACATCAGGTTGTGTAGGTAAACCAACATTTTCTCCTTTCCCGACCAAAGCTTCAGTGGGTCCTTTCGATTCTTCAAAGCGTGCATGTCGTCCTTCACACTAGCCGAAGGATAATCTACAACACCTTTTTCTTTTGGGTCTTTAGCCGGGTCACTAGTATTTCCTCCAGCCAACCCCAGTTTGTGTGGCGGGTTTGTTCTTCACAACTAAGACAATTCGACTCTCCTCTTCAGATTGCGCATTCTCCTCCATGCAGCTTCACGATCCATAACCTCAGTTGACCTGGATATGTTAGAAAACATGCAGGGATTTTAGGATCTTGATGCTTTCTAAAACCTTTGGACGGTAGCGCCAAACGTGTGACCTTTGGAAACTGAATAATAAGTTGCTTCAAAATACCCATATTCCTTTTGTTTTACAACACTTATATGGGCTTGGAGTGATTTTCAATGGGCCTTTCTTCTAATTTTGGCCCATTTTAATAACTCATTTCTGTTCTAATTAATTTTATAAAAACCTAATTATAATAATTATACCAATTCATTCTCAAATAATCCTAGAAACTTTAATTTACACTATTTCCTTATGTTAATTTTAATGAAAGGTATTTATTTCTTTAATTTTGGCGCTTTCAATTTTGTTCCTAATTTTTTTAGACACAATTTAATATTAACTATTTTTAGGTTTAAATGCAATTTTAGTCCCTCTATTTTTTCTTTTTTTCAATTTTGTTCTCTCATTTCAAAAACTGGTTCACATAGTCCACTTATTATATTTTTCTGAGGAATATAGTCCCCTTTTCAATCTAGGTGTGTTTTTAATGACATGGTAGATCAATTGCATATGTGTCATGTGTCAGATGGATATTATAATTAATTTTTTATTAAAGTCATTTATTTTGTTATATTGTAATATTTTTAAACATTAATATTATATGTTGGTAATTATAAATTAGAAATGTATTAGTTTATTCAAGGACTTTCCATCATGAAGTAGATGAAACGTTTCCCCAAAATACACGAACCCTAGAAATCTCAACGAGCTTTTCAAAGAGTTTAGACCATAAAATTAATTGTCTTCGTCTTCATAATCTTAATCCTCTTCAACCTTGAAACGTCGTTGTAATACGGTGGGAGAACTAACTTGGATGTTTTGGGAAACGTCGTTCTAAGACATCTCATAGGTGCCACCCACTGACCGTAACCCAGACTTCCCGTACGTGTCGGGCAATGTCACCCTCTTGCCCTTCTGGTCCAGCACCGATCCAAGATTCTCGTCGAGCATCTCCTCAGCCTGCCCGAAACCAGCGTCGTGCAGACCACTAGGGACCGACCAGAGAGATGCCCGCAACCAGCCTCCTTCCCAGAATCAACGGCTAGTTACAAGCATATCTTCCCGGTTTGACCAAGTCCTGGCAGTTACCTCATTTTCTGGACCCGCATATCTAGGCGAGAAATCAGGAACCAATGACCACGCGCCAGGGGAAGTATATAAACCCTCACACCTGTGAGGGCCAGGTATCACATATTCACTACTCACTACTTGATATTTTGCTAGTACCTTCTTGCTCCCACTCTTACTTTATTGTTAGAGTACCTTGCAGGTACAACCCCCTCTCTCCTCAGCTCAATTGAAGATCAACCTCCGACCACTCTCCAGGTTCTGATCAACCGCAAGATCAGTGGTGCCGTTTGTGAGAAATTGTTATCCCCGTCTTTCTTCCCTCTGAACCTAAGATCAAAGCAACTCTTCTTTCAAGATCCATCTCTCTTATCATGGCCGGCCATAATGATCTTCAAATGCCCAGAAAGACCATCCTTTCCCCCGCTCGTAAGAGTGATAGAAGCTAAGAACACCCTCACCTTGAGGACGACCTGGGCTTCGGTGACGGACAAACCGCATCCCCTGATTCTGCTGATGCCCGGTGTAGTGACGACCAACTCATGGTCGAAGGACGTTCCAAGAACCTTACCGAGGAACTTCCAGAAATCTTGCAACTGGTTCTTATCCCTCTCAACACCGACCCGGCCATAGAAGCACTTCTCCCTGCCTTAAATAACACCAACGCCCTCATCCTTCAACAAAATCAGAGGATATGGGCCTTGGAGATCAAACACTCAAGATCTCCTCCACGGAGAGCCCGGAGATGAAACTCCCCTAGTGCATCACCACCCAGGCGTGGTCCACCGCTCAAAAAAGAAAGGCGTGACATTTCTTTATTCAAGAAATGCAATCGCACACCTCCTGCCCGAGATCAAGACTCCCCTTCATTCAAGAAGAGGAGGGACAACAGGAAGATCGACCATGCTCGATTACCCTCTCCCGAGCCAAAGCAGAAATGAAGGAGCCCCTCCCCTCGACGGAACCGTGACGACCAACGGGGGAGAAACTATCACTCTCCTTCTCCATCTCCCATCAATAGTGAAGATGATGAGCCCCATGACCCGCTTTCAAGGGAGATCACCGAAGCTCCACTCCTTGTTATCCTAGAAAAGCCGCCCACTCTATGGACCTACGACATCACGATATATCCTGATGAGCACATCGAGAACATTGATGCGCTCCTTGACTACAGAGGGGTCAAAGGTGCCATCAAATGCAGACTCTTCCCGACCACTCTCAAGAAGGGGGCGATGGCATGGTATAAAAGCTTGCCCGCTGAATCCATCGCCTCGTGGAAACAACTCAGGAGAATGTTTTTAAGGCATTTCACTGCCTCCTGCCGACACCCTAAATCAGAAGCTTCGCTCGAAGCGATCATACAGGGCAGGGACAAATCTCCGCGGGCATACATTGAACGCTTCAACAAAGAAGCGGTTCTGGTCCCGACAACGGACAATATGAAGAAATACCTACTCGCAGCGACTTTGCCAAGGTTGTGGGAATAGAAACATCTGCCACTCTCGATTCCCTTATCCTAAAGGCCCAAGCATACATACAGTAAAAAGAGAAGGAAACGGCCAACAGCGCCCGAGAATCCAGGCACAGAGAGAGTGCCAAACCTTCGAAGACTGACGAACCCTCGGCATCCCGTCGGGGAGAAGAAACGGGAAGATAAACCCCGTGATCCTAGAGACTACAAGGGGCCAGTAGGTCGTTTCCACGACTACACCCCCTTACAACCTCAAGAGAGCGTATTCTTCCCGAATGAGCTAATTCTGAATTCAAGCAAGCTGGGGTGCGCTTCCCCTGAAAAACACCATCAAAGCCAGGGACTGACAAGAGCAAGTACTGTAGGTTCCGCAAGAGTCACAGCCAAAACATAGAGGATTGCATCCATCTCAAGGATGCAATCGAAATACTGATCAAAGACGGATACCTCAAGCAGTATAAGAAAAAAGAGCCCCCCCGTGACGAAGCACCAGAGACAAAGAATGTCGAAGAAGGGAAGAAATCCCCTGACCTCGGCACCATTCTGGTCGCCTTGAGCATCTCACGACCAAAAGACTTCTAATTTCCGAACATGGAGAACGTCCCCCTCTACTTCTCCACCCACAGTCTGTGGTAATCCTTCCCCGCAACCATGGTCATTTCCGGCGGAAGGTTCAACAGGCATACGCTCGGATCGGTGAAGAGAAGGTTCGACCAACTCATCAAGGCCAACTCTGAGATGGATGCCACGCTCGACAAGTTTCGAGGAGGATCTCACCCCCTCGCATTCTACAGGGAAGAGTTACCGGGAGGAGCCCCGAATTCGAGCATCCCACTACTCGTGAGAGCTCGGATGGCTAACTTTGACGTGCATCGCATTTTGGTCGACCAGGGCAGTTCGGTGGACATCATGTACGCCCAACTGTTCAACACTTTACAGCTAAACGAGAGCCACATAACTCCCTATGTGGGTTCTGATCTTCAAGGTTTCAACGGGGCCAGCACGAAGCCATGGGGGTACGTAGAGTTGATCGTCACTTTTGGCAGGGGATAACGGCCAGAGCCATCAAGACCCAATTCTTGGTGGTGGACTGTCCATCTCTCTATCAATGCATATTCGGGAGACCCATTCTTGTCGAGCTCATCACGGTCCCCTCCATTGTTCATGTCAAGATAAAATACTACATGGTCGAAGGTTTAGTTGCCATTCTTCACAGGGACATACAAGCAGCCATGAGGTGTTTCGAAGCTTCTACAAAGGGCCTCAGCCCCATCAACGCCTAACCTCGGACAACCACTTGAGCTATATTTCCCTCCAGCTCCAAGGAATCCAGGCCACTACCGAGGGTCGACAGTATTGACCTCGGCGGTCGCTTCTCCTTGGAGGACAGGGTCGAGCAAAGGAAGAAGGGGGGAGGAGCCTATGGTCGAAGACAAAGGGTCAACCTCCTCTGCTGGAAACATCGAGCTCTCAAGTCATGCATGGCCTATCCCAGACAGTAACTTTGAGCTGGTTCTCCTTGGAGAAGACCCCACTAGGGGATTAAAGATTGGAGCGGACCTCCCCAACCTGGAAAAAAGGAAACTCAAAGCTTTCCTGCAGGAAAATGCTGATCTCTTTTCCTGGAGTGCGTCCGAGATTCCTGATTTAGACCCTAAGGTCGCATTCCATCACCTGACCATTGATCCAACCATCAATGTGGTCGCATAGCGCATAAGAAAGTAGTCGACCGAGAAGTCAAAGGTTGTTGAATAAGCTATAAAAGACCTCTTAGAGGCACATTTTATTTCTAAAGCCCAATACATAACCTGGCTCTCAAATGTAGTCCTCGTTAAAAAATCTAATGGAAAATGGCGAATATGCATTGACTATTTTGATCTCAACCTGGATTTCCCAAAAGATGCTTATCCCCTCCCAAATATTGATAAATTGGTCGATGTTGTACCCCAAAATTTACCCTCTCATGTTTTCCAATATTTTTTCTTATATGGGTGGTCACAAACACTTGATTAAAGAAAAATAAATTTTTAGAAGATGAACAAGGTGTCTTTCGATTGGTATCTTGACAGGCTTCTATTGATTACCTAACCTCCTTCAAGCTTGCTTCAAATTTCCAAGCTTAAATTAAAGCCTTGGCCTTTCGCTTGTTTGCTGTATACAAGCTTCGACTGGGCATGTGTTTCCTTTGAAACAACCTCCTTCGATTTAAAAGGGAAGGGCCTCCTGTTGGTGCTCCTTCGATTTAGAATACAAGTGCCTTCTCTAAGCTTGCCTTCAATTCACAAGGCTGGAACTTCCTTCATGCCATCTGTTGTACCCCAATTTTCCCCCATAAGATCCCTTCATCATACCATGTTGGTTTATTCACAACAAGATTACACTAGGATTCTTGGTTCCCCTCCCTACTTTGAGTTTTGCTCCTTTTGAGGGATTACCAAGCACCTTGACTTATGTTCCTTTTATGATCATGAATATTGTTTTGATTTCTTCATTTAAATAATAAAATGCAATGTTGGCTTGTCTTGCTTGTT